CTCTTTAAAGGTACTGAGAATATAGGAAAAGTGCAGACAAAGAGAGGTCATGTTGTTTTAAAACCCATATAACTCTACTGTTTTATAACATGAAATAACTTCCTTTGCTTATATAATCAAATCTAAGCTCCTTGTATTTTGGCCCATGGGGCTCTGTGTGACTGTCTCTGCCTTGGCAGTCTCACTTTTAGAAATACTTGTTTAGCTTTGAACCTCAAATTCCAAAGATCCCAATTCTTTGAAAGTGGTGTAGATTCCCTTTCTGTTTGTAAAATCCAGTTCTCCTTTGTTCATCTTCAGAATCCCTGCTATTTGTCAAAAATCTGACTATGCCCTTCCCTACAAAGCCCCTATCCCCAAGAAGAAAGGTAATATCCTGGAAAAGTGCCTCCTGTAGTCCCGACTGTGCTTCCTTCTAGCTCAAGGCATAGTCAGCACTAGCTTCAGTACATGTACTCAACATGTATCTGACACTCACATCTCTCATGAATACAAAGGAAAGCAAAGAGTCTTTGTCCACATCGGTCAGGTGGCGGAGACAGCAGTGACCACGTAGATTTCTGATGGCTTAAATAGATATATAAGCATTTCTTCTTTCCTAAATGCTAAACACTGGGAGGAAAGCCGTAAGTGTGAGGGAGGAGCACAGCCATGCCAGGCTGCAGGGAGCAGGCTGGACGCAAGGTTCCAGATGCTAAGAACCATGACATATATCATGAAGCCCACAGTAGCTAGCACATACTGGGTACATACTGTGCTACATGAAGCATGTGCTCTGGATGAAGCTTACATGTATAACTGCCTACTACTCTATGATGTAGATTCTTTGAAAAAATTCATTTAATTATATTTTTGAACTTAACTACATTTATTTGTGTGTGTGTGTGTGTGGGTGTGTGTGTGTGATACCACAGCACTTGTGTAGAGGTTAGAGGATAACCTAATCTAATATAGGGAACCAGTGTTCTCCTTCCATCATGTCAGTTCTGGAAATGGAACTCTGGTCACTAGGGTGAACCATCTTGCTGGCCTCATAGACTCTTCTATTATTCTCATTTACAATTGAGAAAAGGTATTTCAAAGAACTTAAGTATTATGCTAAAGTCACAGAAAAAGAAAAGGATACAAGGAAAGAAGGAGGAAGGAAGGAAGGAAGGAAGGAAGGAAGGAAGGAAGGAAGGAAGG